ATCTGACCGCTCAATCTTGATCTGAAATTCACACCCCAACTTTCCAGAAGAAGTAAGAGGCCTCCTTTCCTTAGCCGGATCAGAATCAGGAGCCTTCGATTTTTTCTTCCTACCATGAGTGCACTTCAAGTATCGTCGCCTACTATCTTCATTTGGATTTTTTTTTATTTGATGCCTTCACCAAATAAAACCCAAAACCCTTGGCAATCTCAGTAGCTGCTGCATATGCAATCAAATCCGTATCGTATTTTACTCCATTGACGAATTTTGAGGTGTAATCTTTTACATCCCCTCCGTAATCATCAATATCCTACAATGTTAGATCTCATGATATAAGTAGGACTCCACAATAATAGAAAATCAAACTACTACGTTTAATTTAACAATTATCACAAATAATTTAGCATTCTGAATATTCTCCTAAGCAAAATCCAACATTTAACATGACAAAATTTAGCATTCTCTATTATTTACATAAGAATCATATTAATCACATTCTGGAATTTTTTTATTGCGTATTATACATCTAATCTTAATTTTGTATAAAAAACATTCAATTTCACAAATAATTAGGCTCATAAATTTTAAAAATAATATAAACTAAAATTCAACAAACAATCATATAGACCAAACTATAAATCATAACAAAAAAATAGAAATATTTGATATAAACTTAAAAAAACCCAAAAGGCACCAACAGAAGCAAATTTTCGGTTCTGCCATGGCTAAACCAAAGCCAAATTTCGGTTCCACCGTGGCCTAACCGAAGGCAGGGTTCGGTTCCCCCATGGCTAAACCGAAACCACTTTTCGTTTCACCCATGGACCAAACGAAGCAGATTTTCGGTTCATCCATGGCTCAACCGAATGTGATTTTCGGTTGGTCCATGGTTCAACCAAAACCAATTTTCGGTTGAACCATGGACCAACCGAAAATCACATTCGGTTGAGAATTTTTGGGTTTAAAAAAAAAACAAGATTTTTACCTCGTCGGAGTCGCTACTCATTGTTCGGACGTATGCTCGACGATTTCGGCTTCCAAATGTCGATGATGAATTTGAGAGTGTGGGAGAGTGAGTGTTTTTTGCTTTCTAAGTGAAGGTGGTGTTTGTTTGCTAAAGGAAAGGTAAAGATGTTAAAAGGTTAAAAGTGTAACTTTGTTGTTTTTTAGGACGATCATTAGTAATTGTTAGGACGACTTTTATCAACTCCCATCCTCCCTGGGTCCGCCCCTGAATCCGGGAGCGGTTATGGTGAGTACTACTAAAGTAGTAATCACCGTGGTTACTAAGGGTAAGAATGGTATTCTGGTGCTTATTGTTTTGGTAGTGATGCTAATTTTTATTGGTAGTGTTTACATTGGGTAGGAATGGTATTCTGGTGCTTATTGTTTTGGTAGTGATGCTAAATTTTATTGGTAGTGTTTACATTGGGCAGGAATGGTATTTTGGTGCTTATTGTTTTAGTAGTTATGCTAAATTTTATTGGTAGTGTTTACATTGTGTTATTAGTGTATATCTGTTTCGATGGATTGGTATTCAATATTGAAAATGAGTTGCTTGACCACTTCAAGAAATACCAATATCATTATATAAATAAAACAAGAAATCAATGCCAAAACATAAAAAAAAAACTATACCAACACAACCAATCGAGACGAACCAATACAACTAATACAACTACGGAAAAAATAGTACCATTACACGACAAAAATTACCAATATAAACAATCTATACCATTATAAGAATCAATATCAATCCATTAAAAAAATACTACCATTGCACAAAGCACCAATACTATTCGAGAAATAAAAACACTACCATTTGACAAAACACCAATACCATTGCAGATTTAATCAATACCAATACGACAAAAACTATACCAATGCAACAAAATCAATACCAATGCGACAAAAACAATACCAATACCACAAAAACAATACCAGTGCGACAAAACAAAAAAAACAATACTATACTGTTTCCTAAAACAAACAATCAACCACTACCAAAACAAAACAAAAAAACATATATAGGTTTATGTTCTCCTCAGTCGTCTCTTGTGGAGAGAGAGAGAGAGAGAGAGAGAGAGAGAGAGAGAGAGAGAGAGAGAGAGAGGACATGACGAGGAGGAATGGGAGGAGGTTGGCGGAGGGGGCAGAGGTGGCTGGAGGGGGAGAGTGAGGGCAACGGAGGGGAGAGTAATGGCAGGCAGTCGTTGTCGCCGATATGAGAGAGAAGGAGGCGGGCGACAATAGTCGCCGGTAAGATATGCGGCTGGGAGAGAAATATATATTATTAGGGTTGAAAAGAGAGGGAGGGTGAGATTATAGGGAATAGGAATCAGATGCGTTAAAATTTTGATTTCCAAAATTACCCTAAATGAATTTTGACTGTAAGATTAAAATAGAAGGAAAAATAGACAATCTAATGGTGTACAAAGAGGTTGCCACTGTGGCTACCAAAAAACTAGTAGCCACCCTAACCCATTCCCCCTGAATCCACCAATCCAATCCATTTGCCACCTCTACACACAATGTCATATTTTTTAGTCTTCATTCCACTGGGATCAGAATCAGCACTTTCTGAAGATGATATTCAAAGGTTCCCTTCCATAAATAAAAGGTACAAGAAATTGTCACAAACTACCAATTTTGCTAGGGGTTAAATAAAATCTTCCAAAACTGGTAACACGTCTTGAACCCCTCCCCATCTTATAGATTAGATGGGGTTTTGACTGTTCAACGACGGATTAATTAAGGGAACAAATAGTAACGGGTATCTTAATCCAGAATTATAAGCTAACTGTCGATATTGATTACGATCGATGAGGTAGGGTTTATGCTATCATTATACGCAAAGTGGAATAGTTAACTATAATATTAATGCATAATTAGGTACACGACGACTGCCAGCTGAGCGGACTGGTCAAACCCCTCCAACCCACTAATCCAACAAACTGCTTTCCTCGTCTCATTTCTAATTGCCTCGTTTCCTTCCTTTCTTCCAAAATTACCCTCAACAAAAACACTCGACGAGGACAAGGCTCTGAGGCAGTGGTGAGGACAGAATTGGCATTTAGCAGGCCAAGAAAGAAAGGAACCTACAGCTAATAAATTAGTAATTATATATGAGCATGTTACACACATGCTGCCACCAACTAGGGACTAGAATAGAGACGTGAACCCCCACAAAGAAAGAAAGGAAAGCAAAATTAAAGACAAATTTAACCTAACAAACCACTAATTAAACACAAAAAGATGGACAAATATAAAACACACAACCAAATCAACTACAAGTAGGGGTGTTCAAACGGTGTGGTTACCATGGTAACCGTTTTAACCAGTACTATTTGGATAATTTGGTTTGGTTAATTTGGATAATTGGTTTGGTTTGGTTAAAGTTTTTAGCTTGTTTGGTTTAGGTGGTTTGGTTTGGTTTCAGACACTCCTAACCAGCCAAACCAAATTAACCAGATAAATAATTAGTCATATATCTAATATATACACATACTTAATACTTTGAATAACCACTCAAGAGTTAAACGTTCATCCTTTTAGACTCATAAAATATAAAGCTTGATATTGTTCCTATAACGTATATTTGTATATGTAGAGTGTAGACCACAACATATGAACACCTAAATTAGATAAATCTCATACATTATGTTGGATGAAAACTTGAAAGCAAGGTCCTTTTCAGCCTATGAAAATTGCTAAAAGACTAAGTCAATTCAAACAAACACAACAATTCATTAACCCATACCATTGTAATAAATTTTTGTTAGGTGAATACTTCTATACTAACCGTAAGATAATTGTCTTAGTTGCATGTATTTATTTTAAGGGTCAACTGTAACTATGTGCTGATTGTTATGTTTTTTTTATGAACATTGATTGTTATGTTTTATTCATTATATAAATTGTGAATTGATAAATTAACCAAAAAATTTCTCACTTAATGATAATATGATTTTATATTGGTTAATCTGGTTAACCAATTAACCAAACCGATTAAACTTTAGTTTGGTTAATTTGGTTGTTGTATCAGTTTGGACATTTTGGTTATGATATTGTATTCCATGGTTAATGAAATTTATCCTTATTTTGGTTTGGTAATAACCATGGTAACCATTTGAACACCCCTAACTACAAGGATTAACCAATTTCGTTCGGCAGCTGATTTTATTGGTTGCTGACTCATATTCATCATGGAGTGGCGACGACAACCGAACATGAAAAGAATTGTCCGGAATCGAAATCGAATATCATCGCCTCTCTAAAACGTGCTACTTATGAGATTATTTTACCTCGATCACTCTTTTTTTTCCGGCAAATTATTGGTAATACAATATATATATGTTGAGTTTGACGAATACTAATGATAAGATATTTGTAAGCATTGATGTCGATATACTTTGTAACTTTTTATGGACCAACTATATCCCATCTACGTCCTTCATCTCCGGCATGCCGTCGGCGGCCAACTCCCGGCCGGCACCGTCCTCACATATGACGTCACAAGTGACGTCAACGTGCGGCCATTAACGGGGACCACGTGCATGCATGCCAGCTTATCCGAACAAGAGAACCTTTTTAGTTTTTACTCCCAAGCCTCTCCGATCGTCCACGTGTCGTAATTACATGCCTTCTGTGCTGCCATTTTACCTGAGACGTGTATATTCATTTCCAGCTAGGGCTGTCAACCGGTCGGTTTCGGTTTAACCGAGACCGGGACCTGACCAGTTGCCATCGACCACCGATCGACCCTGGCGCATCGGTTATCCGTAAACCGATCGGGCGGTTTCGGTTAAGGCTCGGTTAAACCGGCAGCACCGAAAAAGGGAGGATCGGTTCGATCTGCTGTCCTGACCGACCGAAGACCACCGAAAAAGGGTTTTTTTCTCCTTCATTCCACTTCCCCTCTTATTTCTTCTCTCCCTCCCAAGCCCCAACAAACCAACCAAAACCCCGTCGTTCCCTTCTCCACAAGGTCAAAACCCGCGATGACCAACTACGGCACAATCCCCACCTCCTCCGCCGCCGCAAGCGGCGGCAGCTCCTCCTCGCCGTTCTCCAACCTTGCCTACATCTCCCGCGCCGCCAAGGACCGGATCCGAGACGGCCTCGGCATCCTCCGCCCCTGGAAATCCATGCTCGACTTCCGCAGCCTCGGCCTCCCCGGAACCCTAGCCGATGCAATCGCCCGATTGAAGACGAATTCGACCTACTTCTGGATGAACTACGCCGTAATTGTCCTGGGGATCTTGTTCCTCAGCCTCCTCTGGCACCAGATCTCGCTCATCGTCTTCATCGCCGCCATGGCCGGCTGGCTGTTCCTCTACTTCCTCCGCGACGAGCCGTTGGTGGTGTTCGGGCGGCTGATCGGCGACCAGGCCGTGCTGATCGGGCTCTCGGTGCTCACGGTGGCTCTGCTTCTCCTCACCGATGTTCTGTGGAACACCGTGGGGTCGCTTGACTGGCGCGACGATGGCGGGCTGGCGGCTGTGCGACGGCCGACGAGGGACGATTTCCGATTTCGCCAGTAACGAGAGGATGAAGAGGGACGATTTCGCGAAAAGGAGATGGGCTGACGGCTGTCGACGAGAGTGTCTAGGGTTGGGGATGGGTTCCTTTTCTCACAGCCCAGAACGACGTCGTATCACTCGGTCGGTTAGAGCCGGTTGCCGGTTAACCGACTACGGTTACTCGGCTAACCGCCTGCCCACACTCAGTTTCCACCCACCGACCGTGTATGCTTTTGTCCGGTTTTCGGTTAGCCGCTAACTGGCGGTTAACGGTTAGACCGTCCGGTTAGCCGCTAACCGGAAACCGAAATGACAGCCCTATTTCCAGCTTCTCCAACGATGCGAGACCACCCCTAAACCTAGCTAATTAAGGCCGTTTAACCAATAATATAATCAAAATCGGAATTTTGCCGTTTTGGGACGGCCAAAACAAAGCCCGCATATGTAGTTACGAATGGTTTAAAGCCGGCATAATTTGCTTTGGAGTTTTTTTTTTCCTTTGGTTTCTAAGTAGTCAAAAATGAATAGAATTATGGCCATAAGGAGGGTGCGTGGTGGATTAATTATTAGTTAATTAAAGGCTAGCTAGCAGGCTAGTTGAGGGATATTTAATTAACAAAGAGATTGGGCTCCGGCTGGCTGTGTTTAGGTTGAGTTAATTAAGTACGTAAAGTACGTGCGCCCACTTAATTAATTCAGGATAATTAAGGAGTGAGTGGGTGGTACCACGATTGAACTCCGCGTAATAAGGAGGGAAGGTCCGGAAGGAGGTTGAGGTCAAACCAAAGACGTTTGACCGGTAATTGCAAAGGATTTTTTTTCTTTTGCTTTTGATTTTAAGTAATCTGACAAACAGGTTACTCCATAGGTAATCACCGCTACTAAACACTCGTGACGGATCCAGGATTTGAAGATGGGTGTCGCCTAATGAATAAGTATCGGCTATAATTATTAAAATGGTGTCAGAAATCTCGTATTAAAAATTTTTGTACCAAAAAAATTTAGATTATTCACAAAAATTTCGGGCGTAGGGGTGTCGGACGACCCCCTTAGCAACGCATAGGTCCGCCCCTGCCAAACACCTCCCTATATGAATGGCAATGGGCAGGTCGGATGTGTATCTTGATGCACACACAGGCCCGCCCAAGAGGGTGCGCCAAGCGGCCCTCCGATTATTAGGGGCTCCACGTGGATCTGTTAGTTAATCCAATCGTATATTGTAGGTTGTATTTGTAGTGTATAATTAATTGATTATGAGTATGATAATAAATTTAATTATATTAATTAATATTAGTGTTAGCCATTGCTTACTATTCTATGTATATATACACTAGACACTTATATATACACTATACATATCCTATTTGTTTTAAAAATATAATAGAAGAAAATTTTAATGAAATAGTTACGATAACAATTGAAATTATCCCATTGAGGATACGAAACTTAGAGGCATAATAGATAATTTTATTTTAAACAATGCTAGAAAGAAATTGCATTTCAAATAATTGCGATATAAATATTTTAATTTATTATAATTAAAAAAATCAATTTGGGTCACATCTCAATTTTGGAACAGGGCCTCCACGATCTATTGGACGGTCCTGTGCACACATGGCAGGTTGAGAAGAAGACTCCTGCTTATCCCGCCTCATTTACGAGGTTGGTATTATGGATCTCGAAACAAGTCAAATAAATCGGATAAAATGAGCCAGGTCGAAATTGTCTCCCTCACTATCTACAACTCCTAATTAATACGTAATTATATAATAGCTCAAAATATGGTATTTCCACTTTAGATAACTAACTCTAACATAAATTTAGCCCAAAAAGCCATTACAGAATGATTCCCATCATACGTCTATATATTTTATCTATCATCATCATTATAACAACAACTTCTTAGTTCTTACCACCACAACCATTTACTACGGTCGGTTCGATCCCAATTCCCAATTCATTGGCCACGGAAAAAGGAGAAGAAAAAGAGTGTCTCGTTGGCAAGAAGATAAGAAGAGTACATAATAGTACAAGGGGAGATGGCAGATGGGTTTTTGAGGTTGTGGATTGTGGTGTAGGCAGGGAGACATAATTGCTCCCCCAATCAATGCACATTGCACATTGCCCAGTTGACCAAACAACCAACCCGGTCAGACCAGATCAGACCAGACCAGGCCACTACAGTATCATTTGCTTTCTGCCTCTCTTCTGTGAATGACAACGAGTCGAATTGGACTGGATAATGACTATCCATTATCCTGATCTAACTAATTCATGTGTTATCCATACTCTCATACTCACAAAAAATTCATATAGTATATTAAAACTATTCTCATACCCAGTTGGGTTTGGTATTCGCGTATATCCACTGATAATAACGCTACATATGCGCAAGAATTATAAATAATGAATCACCAATACCAAGAAAAATGATCGAAAAGAAACATTGGTTCATGAGATGCTACAATTATACGAGGAATACTGGGGTTGTTTGGTTTTAGTGATAGTTAAATTGATGTATTGTTATCAATGTATGCATTATAATATACATGTATATACAAAAAATGGTGTATTGTAGTTTATATCGTTTGGTTTCTGTGATAGTTATTATAGTTTTAAATAAGTTAACTTACTTTTTGAGTGAAATGTCACTTTTACCCTTTGTATTTAATATGAAAAAGCAGCACACATAAAAAAAAAGTAGGGTCATAGTTGGAAGTTGGAACAAAAACAAAGCATAACAATCTCAACTCAATCAAACAATCTCACCCAAAACTTGATATTTAAGTATCACTAATTTTGAGTGATAATTTGTGTCAAATCAAGCAAACAATGTTTGTTTAGAAGATTCAGAAAAAAACGATTCATTATGAGCAATGCATGTATTGTAACTATTTCAATCAAAATATCACGAAAATCAAACTAGTGACTTTAAAACAATAATATCAGCCTTTTCATCTGATTTTCCTGCAAATGTACGGACGGCTGGGTTTCACCGCCGACGTGCCGCCACGCCGGACGGCTCCAAGCCCGAGAGAGAGCGCGTGAGAGAGAGAGAGTCCTCCCTCCGGCCAACTTGCCAGCTGGCATGACTGTGTATAACTATTTGCCTACTGGCTGGACCTTATCCTCTTTCCTTTCCCCCCCTTTTCTTCTCCTTTATTTTCTTTTAATTTTGCCCACTTACAATTTTCACCCACAAAAAAAAAAATTTCGAGAAAAAGTATGCTAAAAGGAAAATTGTACAGATACAGATAGATAAAAATGAGATAGAGAGAGAGAAAAGAAAAAAGATATGTAAAATGCAGCGGAGGACCAACCCAACCCAGCAAAGCCAAACCCTAGATTTCTTCCTTCCTTGCCAAATAACAAAAATAAAATTCCTTTCTCCTTCCCCAAAACCCTCCCCACACAGTGCTTCCTTCCTCCTTTCCCAATTTCTTCGATTCTTCAGATCCAATTACAAAACAACCTCTCTACTCGTATCTTCTCACACCTTTCCGACGAACCAGAGGTTAGTTGTTGTTTTTTCCAGTGTGTATGCTTCTTTCTATCTCCAATTTGTTCTCTTTTCCTTCAATTTTATCTCCCGATTGCTATCCGTCTCCACCTACTTAGCCTTTGGATTCGTCACTTCCAAAGTTTGTAGTTTGCTATCTAGTTTTGTCCTCGTCTCTGTTTTCTTACGCAGTCTAATCATTCGTTTTTGGCTATATTTGGATCTCATCCACCTTTTTAACTTGTTTTGCTGGTACCCTCTTTTGATCGGATTTTAGGGTTGTCTTCTGCTCGATTGATCGTTATCGCGGTATCGTGATTGGGTTCTGTACGGCACCCATTTGCAGATCCTGCTAAATTTCCCGTCTTTCTGCTGGGGTGAGGGGTTTTCTGCATAAGTTTGAGATCGTGGGGCTGCTAAATTTCCCATCTTTTTTTCGTTGATAGCTGAGCCCTTGTGAAGAGCTATAAAGGGTTTTCAAGATGATGTCCAAATCGTATACCAATCTCTTGGATCTAGCTTCGGGCAACTTCCCGATAATGAGTCAACAACCGCGGGAGAGGAAGAGGTTGTCTCGTGTGATGACTGTTCCTGGGGTCATCTCCGAGCTTGATGATGATCAGGCGAATAGCGTTGCCTCGGACGTGCAGTCTTCCTTAATCCAGGACCGGATAATAATCGTGGCGAACCAGCTGCCGGTGAAGGCCAAGCGGAGGCCGGATAATAAAGGGTGGAGTTTTAGCTGGGATGAGGATTCTTTAATGTTACAGTGTAAAGATGGTTTCCATGAAGATATGGAAGTTATATATGTTGGTTCTTTGCGGGTTGAGGTTGACCCGAGCGAGCAAGACGATGTGTCCCAGCTTTTGTTGGACAAGTTTAAATGTGTTCCTGCATTCCTGCCTCCTGATATCTTGAACAAGTTTTATCATGGGTTTTGTAAGCAGCATTTGTGGCCGCTTTTCCATTACATGCTTCCCTTCTCTGCCAGTCATGGGGGGCGGTTCGATAGATCCTTGTGGGAAGCGTATGTTGCAGCCAATAAAATCTTCTCCCAGAGGGTGATTGAGGTTATAAATCCGGAGGATGATTATGTCTGGATTCATGACTATCATTTGATGGTGCTACCAACCTTCTTGAGAAGAAGGTTCACCAGATTGAGAATGGGTTTCTTTCTTCATAGTCCATTCCCATCATCGGAGATATACAGAACGTTGCCTGTGAGGGAAGAGATTCTCAAGGCACTGCTGAATGCTGACCTTATTGGATTTCATACGTTTGATTATGCTCGTCATTTTCTCTCCTGCTGTAGTCGTATGTTGGGGTTAGAATATCAGTCAAAACGAGGTTATATTGGATTGGAATACTATGGTAGAACGATCGGAATCAAGATCATGCCGGTTGGCATTCACATGGGACAGATTGAGACAGTATTGAAGCATGCTGATAATGAGTGGAGAGTGAAAGAGCTGAAACAGCAGTTTCAAGGAAAGACTGTTTTACTCGGTGTTGATGATATGGA